TCCTACTTCCGTAGTGATACTGCCTCGGAAACCCAAGGAGGGGTCGCTATGAGTCGGGGCTGACTCGATGGCAAATAACAACAACAACAACATATATATCTCAGAGAAGCACCTAATGTCATGTAGGAGCTCCCAGGTGGTGCAGTTAAGTGATGGGCTACTAATCAAAAGCTTGGTGGTTCAAACTCACCCAGAGGTGTTTCTGAAGAAAGGCTTAGAGATCTGCTTTTGAAAGTCAGAGCAATGAAAACCCTATGGAGTGCAGTTCTATTCTGAAACATATGGGGTTGCTATGAGTCAGAATTGACTTGATAGCAACTGGTAACTGGTGATATCATGTAATGTGATAACTTTCTATAATGCAATGTAGTGTAATCTCTTTCCAAAATCCAATCTAATGTAATGTAATCCACTGATCCGTTGAGGTCATACGACTGTAAGGTGGATCCTAAACCTAATCACTTCTCAATTATAAGAAGGCCAGAATAGACACAGAGTCACACACACCAGGCATGTGAGGATGGTATACAAGGAAAGGCGCTCCAAGGATTGTTGGTAGGCACCAAAAACCAAGAGAGAGGCTCACAGAAGAAATTAACATGGCCAAGACCTTGATTTGGCCTTTAACTTCCAGAACTAAGAAAATAAATTTCTGTTCTCTAAAGCCACCCACTTATGGTATTTCTTTTAAGACAGCACTAGTTAACTAGTGCAAAAACAAGACAAAAATAATTAATTCTAAAGGAAAAGAGAAATTTGACTACATTAAAACTAAGAACTCCTTCTAGTCACCCAAAAAACAATACAAAGACGTTTGTTGAGAAGATGAGCCGCTGGGAGAAGATATTTGGAACATATATAATTTACAAAGGACTAGATCCAGACTATGTAAAGAACTCCTATTAATTGAAAAGAGAAAAACAAACCACCCATTTTTAAACGGGCAAGACATGAATGGAACTTTTACAGAAAGAGAAGTAGAGACAGGTTGTAACTTATGAATACATACTCAATCTCATTAGTAATAAAAGACATGCAGATTGAAACCACAGTAAGATGCCATTTCACACCCACTAGCCATGGGAGCTCTGGTAACATAGTGGCTAAGACACTTGCCTGCTAACCAGACGGCTGGCGGTTCAAACCCACCAGCCACTCCTCGGAAGGAAGGTTGGGCAATCCTACTTCCGTAGTGATACTGCCTCGGAAACCCAAGGAGGGGTCGCTATGAGTCGGGGCCGACTCGACGGCACATAACAACAACAACAACAAGCTTGGCAAAAAATAAAAATTTGATACTAGGAAGTGCTAGTAAGGACACAGAATAATAAGAATTTTTATCCACTGCTGGTGGGAGAGTAGACTGATACACCTTGGAAAGTTATGTTGGATATGAGTGTACCCTGTGACCAAACAGCTTGACTCATATGTACAAGAATGTTAGGGCAGCACTGTTTGTAGTAGCAAAAAAGCAAAACCACCCAATGCCCAACAACAATAAAATGTGGCATATTCATACAATGGAGTATTATGCAGAAATGAAAATAAATGGATCTCAGATCCATGCATCGACCTACGTGTATGAATCTCAAAAATAATCTTTAGAGAGAAAAGTTGCAGAAGACTATATAAGGTATAATTTATACAAAGGCAAAAAATAGTCAAAATCAAATAACATTGTTTAAACACCCATCCACCACCACTGAGTCAATTCCAACTCATATCGACCTACAGGATAAAGTAGAACTGCCCCATAGGGTTTCTAAGGCTGAAAATCTTTGTAGAAACATATTGCCTCTTCTTTCTCCCACAAAGCAACTGGTGAGTTTTGAGCCACTGACCTTTCGGTTAGCAGCTGAATGCATTGTTTAAACCCATTGCCCTTGAATCGATCCGACTCATAACAACCCCTCCTTGGGTTTCCCAGGCAGTATCACTACGGAAGTAGATTGCCCAACCTTCCTTCCGAGGAGCGGCTGGTGGGTTTGAACCGCCAGCCTTCTGGTTAGCAGTCAAATGCCTTAGGCACTACGCCACCAGAGCTAATGCATTGTTTAATGATACTGAAATAAGCAACAAACCAAACCAGTTGCTGTGGAGTCAGTCCCAACTCAAAGGGACAGGGTTTTCAGTGGCTGTGATGTTTGAGAAGTAGAGGCCCCTCTGGGTGGCTTCTAACCACCAGACTTCCAATTAGTAGTCAAATGCCTAACTGTGTGCACCACCAAGGGTCTCACTCCATCATACAGGTAGTAAAACCTGTTAAAAAAAAAAAAAAAAGCAAAGGAATGAGCAAATAAATTAAGGGAAAATTCACTATAGTGGTAACTCTGGGAGTGCGGTGAAGGGACATAAAATTGAGGAGGGAAACAGATGTGGGTGAGACGGCCCAGGAAGAGGAAGCAGAGTAATAAGAAAGAGGAACATCAACCCCTGAAGATGGTTGGAAGAGGAGAGAGAAGTAGCTAAGTCCAGAGACTGAACCATGAATAGTGGAAAGAGAGTCAGAAAACTGGAAACCAACAATGTGGTCAAAAGTATTGTGTACACCAGGGAGGTAGGTTAGGATGCAGGGTGAGAACTTTCCATTCAGCCAGGTTCCCTGATGGCCTTGACTGGAGCAGTTTCAAAGGAGACCTGGCGGTGGAGGCCACACAGCTGAGGACTGAGTGGGAGGTGAGAAAATGCTGGCCCAGAACGGAGACAACTCAGAACTGTGAGGAGAGGAAGAAGATGGAACAGTAGCTGGGGAATGAGGAAGTGGGGGAATCGTTGAGCATGTGACACGGTCTTCACGTAGCCAGTTAAAACCACGATTTTAAACACAAATGCTATGAATTTTTAATGATTTATACATGTGTAGTTAAAGTATGTTGGCAGAAGGGACCAGCCCCTGGAGAAGGATATCATGCTTGGTAAAGCAGACTGTCAGCAAAAGAGGGGAAGACCCTCAAGGAGATGGGTCGATACAATTGCAGGGCTCAAGCATCGTACAGATTGTGGGGACGGCACAGGACAGGGCATTGTTTCGTTCCGTTGGACATAGAGCCAGTATGAGTCAGCGCCAACTCCATGGCACCTACCAACAACAGTGAAAGTATAAAGAAATGCATACAAATTTTGTTAAACTCAGGATAGTGGTTACTTGGTGCGGGGAGTGGTAGGGGAGAACATTTGAGATGTGCTAAACTGACATATTGCCCCTTTCCATATAGTCTATCTTCTTCTTGTTGTTGTTATATGCCGTCGAGTCGGCCCCGACTCATAGCGACCCCTCCTTGGGTTTCCGAGGCAGTATCACTACGGAAGTAGGATTGCCCAACCTTCCTTCGAGGAGTGGCTGGTGGGTTTGAACCGCCAGACTTCTGGTTAGCAGTCAAGTGCCTTAGGCACTATGCTACCAGAGCTCCTATATTCTATCTATCTAGTAGGTATCATTGGCTCATTTTACAGACAAGGAAACTGAGGCTGAGGGAAGTGAATTCTTTGCAATTCCTGTTCCACTCGGTTTTGATGCCGATTCACTGGCTGAACGAATTAAAGAACTGTCTCGGGCTCGCTCCTCAGGCCTCTCTCTTTGCGCCCTTCCCGGATTCCGTACTCGGGGCTATAGACCGCACAGGATAAACTCTTGACTCTCAGCCCTTTTCACAGCCGAGATCTGAAGTCCGCTCCGGCTCCGGCTCCGGCTCCGGCTCCGGCTCCGGCTCCGGCTCCGGCTCCGGCTCCGCCCCCGTGCGATGGGCTCCGCCCCCAGCGGTTGAGCACCAACAGGACTCATGAATATGCAAATAAGAAGATATTTAAAGACGCCGCCACCACGCGCAACTCCCAGCCTGACGCCGCCCGCCCAGTGTATCTCCCTAGCCCGAGGCCCGGCCCCTTTCGCCCTTGCCCCTCACTCCGTGCCAGAGCGCCACCAGCATGTCGGATAAACTGCCATACAAAGTCGGTGAGTTCCAGGACATTCAGTGGGCTGCGTCCGCTCTGCGCCCGCAGGAGGGCCTGTACTGGGCGGTGTTCGTGAGGCTGGCGCCGGGCTCCCAGGACCGTCTTGAATTGCAGGCTTGGCGCAATCCTGGTCACGCGAGGCCGCTTGGGGTTTGGAGTCCTTGCCTTGCGGTGAGCGAGTCGTTGGGTGCGGCGGGGGACTACATGTCCCGGCGTACCCCGCGAGGCCCGGTGCAGGCGCGCGGGCTGCGGAACCGCGAACGGGCGGTGAATTCTGCACGGAGCAGCGGGACCAGTGGCTTGGGACAGTCGGAGCCTGCCGGGATCCCCTCGGAGGTCCAAATCGTGCCTCTTGGGCTTAGACCCGACCCTGGCCAGTTGGGACAGTTGCTCACGATTCTCTGGGCCTCTGGCAGGGAAGGCGAAGGCACTGAAGCCTTACAGGGGCACGTGAGGAGAGGCCTGGAGTGACCCCAGGCCATCACTGGTCTACCGGCTGGGGACTTTGGGCTCGTAACGCACCTGGCCGACCAGAGCAGTTGTGCAGAGGATTTCTAGGAGGAAAAAAAAAATGGAGTGGTTTGAAAAATCCTGTTATGCCACGGATTGAAGACAGATGGGCTTTTATTTAGCTTTTACTGTGGGGTTGGCATGCCTTTCTAGCTTTATTCTATATTAATTCATTATATTTTAACGGTACTTAGGGTAGGAACTATTATTTTTCTAATTTTACACATGATACAGATACACAGGAATAAAGATAACATGTCAATGCTCTTGCAACTGGAAGATAGTGGATCAAAGTTTGAACTCAAGCCATTTGGACCTCAGAGCCCACCCTTTTCGCCACTATATATAGAAGTATATTTATACTTCTAAAATATAGAAGTATAAATTTATACTTCTAAAATATAGAAGTATAAATTTATACTTCTAAAATATAGAAGTATAAATTTATACTTGGAACAACACTAGTACATTTTAAGCAGGAGGAAAAAACTGGTTCAAGCTGGCTAGCAGTTTTTAAAGTAACTTCAAGATACCTGAAGAAGGGCACCAACGTTTATAGAACACTTAACTGTGTATATGGTGATTTGCATGTGTTCACATGTATAGCTCTTAGAGGTGGATGTTAATCCCATTACACCGAAGAAGAAACTGAGGCCCCGAGAGGAAGTGACTTGTTTAAGATGATACAAAATCGTAGCTTTGTCACAGTATTTAGCTTATCAAGTAGCTGCCAACATTCATTATGTGGATGTTGAAAGTGAAGCCCAGAAGGGTTCAGGCAAGGTCACATGAGTGGCAAAGCTGGACTTGGGGGCTTGTTTTAACTGTGAAGAAATCAGTGGGTTAGGGTTGGGATCATTGAGTTGTTGGTAGGAAATCCCTGTGGGGCTTGGAGGCAAGGCTGTGTTTGGGACTGGGGAAGCTTGATTGGGTGGGGGTGGAGGAAGGAAGCCCCCATCACGGAGGATATACTGTCCAGACTGTGCCCATATGCATCTCAGTGCACACAGCAAGGTAGGGATGGTATCTTCCCTTTACAGATGACAAAATTGAAGCTTAGAGAGGGGCTTGGTGTTCCTGTGACCTCTACAAGTCAGTACCCCTGGGCATCAAGATCCTCAGAGCTTGGGGTGCCAGCACTTCCATCACCCCTGGAGTCGAGGGTCCCACAGAAAATTCTGAGTGCAGTGGCCATGAGGGCAATGAGTTATTTTTAGCTACAGGGACAGGTGGTGGTGGTGGAGGGGGTGGGTGGTGGCAGGACTGGACATAACTCATTGGTCCCTGTAGCTGGGTTCCTCCCAGAAGCCTTGAGAAGGCTTCTGGTTCTAGCCCCACCTTGCCACTTGTCACTGATTGGCTGCGAGACCTGGGGTGAACCCTTTTCTGGGCCTTTTCCTAATTGGTAAATGCTGGGGGTTGGACTAACTTCAGATTTGTTTCATTTTTTTGCCACCCCTGTCCCATGCCAGTGCCTTTCATGTACCTTCTGCCATTTGGGCCTAACAACAAATAGTTTTAAACTTTTGCTCGCCCCTCCTCTATTAGGCCCTGCTGGGATCCAAAGGTGACCCAAGGACCAGGGACAGACATGCATACAGGCAATGTAGTAGTATTGTCTTCATTTTGTAAGGAAGGAGATCTTTCCACTTCTCTCCATTTCCATGGCTGCCATCACAGTTCCAGTTTCCCTTCTTACAGATCTCCCTGGGTTTCTTGCTCCACAGATCCTTATAGCAGCCAAAGGGGTCTTTTCAAAAGACAAATCTTGTCATGATATTTCCCTCAAAACTCAACTGGCTTCCCACCTCCCTGGGAACATCTTTTTACTCCCTTTACTCAGTCACCCTGGCTCGCTTTCTGTTCCTCCATCAGGAATATACTATGTTCTTCCCTCTTTCAGGTTTTTGTTGAGCACCTAGTATGTGCCATGTATCAGGTACTTAGAAAGGAGCCTTGCAGGTTAACAAAACTGCTTGGATAAAATTCCCCAGTTGAGAATGAGCTTCCCACCCCAGCTCATTGAAGTCAGTAAGAAGGTCTTTGCGGCTGAGCACTGAATGACGGGGAGATGAGGGGGTGGGGAAAGGAATGGGCCCTGAGACCATGTGAGAAATTAGGATTTTATTTACAGGCAAGGGGAACCTTTTTTTTTTTTTTTTAAAAAAAAAAAAAAAAAAAACAGAAGAGGGGTGGTGGGAATATAACAAATTTTAAGAAGCTTGTCTGGCTGCTGTGGGGAGAATGGTATGTGGAAGCAGGGAGATGGAAGAGGATGCTTCTATTAGTGGTTTGGGCAAAGGTGGTGAGACAGGGTTAGATTGCATATATATTTGGGACATTGAGCCAACAACATTCTGATGGGTTGGCAGGGGATGCAGGGAAAAGAGAAATCAAGAAATCTAAGTTTTTGACCAGAGCGACTGTTTAAATGGTGATCTCTTTTCCTAAAATGGGAAGGATTGGGGGAGTAACAGGTGCGTGTGGGAAGGCGGCAGGGAATCACAACTCAAAGTTGACACAATCATCCTGGATGCCAACTAGACATCCAGGTGGGAATGTTGCGTAGGCAGTTGGCTTTATGAGTTTCAAGTTCAGGGGAGAAGTTTGGACTGGAGAGAAATATGGGTAGAAGGTGTTTAAACACGAGACCAGATGAGCTCATTGAGTTAAAGAGAAAAGGGAAGCATGAGACTGGATGAGCTCATTGAGAAGAGAGACAGGGAGGCCATAGAGGCCTGAGGGTTCTCAAACATCAGAGTCTGTTAGGGGAGGAGGCAGGGAGGTAGGCTGAAAGCCACTTGAGGACAGTCAGAAGACATGTAAAGGATTTTAAGAAGGAGTAAATTAACAGGATCGGTGTGGCTGATCAGAGTATAGATGACTGACTTAGATTTGGTGATCAGGCTGGTATTTGGAGACCTTGAGAAGAGCAGTTTCATCAACCACTTGGAAGAGAATCTATGTAGGAGATCCTGGATAGAGAGGGAGAACAATGTGGAACAAAACTCAAAATCATTTGGAGAAAAAAAAAGGGGGGGGGACCAGGTTTGCTGCTCCGATAGAGTCTGGTGGAACCACTGAGACTGTGGCCCCTAGCTGCCCTTCAGGTCTGGAATCGATCCCACTCCTGTGGCTTAGCCAAACAAAAGACAGGCATATGAGCTGAACATTTACATTAGGCAGAAAGAGTATTGGAGGTTTGAAGAGAGGAGAAAAAATTTCCTAGGAAAATGTGATTGGGTTGCTGGAATATGCTATGTGTCCCCTTGAGATTTGTGGTCAAATTTCAAGTGAGACTGTCGTGGGGTTCTGATTTTCCTCCTGTTGGGTTCAGTGGCTTGGTACAGAGGAGCTTGGGTTTAACTAGAGTGGGAGTTTCTCTGAGCAAGTTCTCAGAGGGAAAGAAGGCAGACGGGTTTGTGAATGATTGAGGGGGAGGACAGTGGAATCCTAAACTGTGGAAGGAAGGAAGTAAGTATATTGAGGAGCAGGCCTGTTTATGACGGGAAGTTGGTAATAGATTCAAGGTTCTGATAAGCCACAGCCTTGTTGGGAGTTGGCACTCTGGAAGGACACTAGATGGGGCATGGCCAGAGTCAGATGCTTGAAATCAAGATTTCAGGAGAGAGCCATCGCCTCTGATGGCCTGTCAAAGGGAGGAGGAGGGGCAGTGGGAATGGACCCTTCCATGGAGGAGGGATTTTTCGTCTCTGGCATTGCTTAGATGCATAGTTGGAAGAAGACTGGCTTGGTCAGTTGTTTTGTTGTTGTTGTTGTTGTCCTTAACTGAGAGTTCTCTACAGAGAATACCTTTGTGCTCCTACCCTTTGTGTGATTGGCAGGATCTAAGCTTTCTAAAGATAAAAATCACCAGGAGTCCCAGGCCCCATCCCAAACCTATGGAATCCAGTTTTCCAGGGGAGATTTACAAGCATGCCAGTAGATCTTATTAAGGAAGTTTGCAAACATTGACCTGGGGACGGACCTAGGATATGACCTTTGAAATGGACCACCGATGTGGGAGAGGGAGAAGGGTGAGATCATTGGAAGAAAGAGTATGGAGATAGCCTGCCTGAGAATTGGACAGATTTGAGACATTTGGAGGCTAAAACATAACTTTTATTACTAATAGTTCCTCAGCCAGAGATCATTCTATGTGTGAAAGTTCAGTGAGCCTGAGAATTGAACCCTACAGTTCAACAGTACCAGTTAGCCTGGCCTGGGCAGGTCTCCGTATCTGGAGCAGCAGAGAACACCTGCCTCTTGTAGGCAGGCCTGCTGGCGCTTGCAGAAGATGGGAAGAGCTGAACTGAGCATGTCCAATTTGTTCCCCCCAAGTATCAGACAGGTCACTCCACCTCTGCTGGGGCAGAGAGAAGCCAAGAGTGTTAGATGGATGAGCTTCCACCACGTGGAAGGAAACATCAGAAGTAGGGCAGAAGCATTTTCACATCTTCAAGGAGGTCAGGAAACTTAGAATCCCAAGTGTTACATGATATCATCTAGGGGAGTTGAAGTCACCAAGAGTAGTGACTTGGAGAGGAAGATGGAGAAGCCAGAGCTGAAATTCTTTAACACATGAGGAGGAGGGGCTTTGACGTTGGTAAATACCAACAAAAAGGGTAGTAGGAGGTATAATCTGATAGCCAAAGAGCATTTGTCTGGGTTGCAATGTTCATGTCCCTGTGTAATTATTTAATTGAGTAAGTTCTCCCGTAGGGCCATAAACTATAGTTAGGGAAGGACTCAGTGCCATCAAGTCAATTCTGACTCATAGTGACCCCCGTTGGGTTGCCGAGGCTATAAGTTTTTACAGAAGTAGATTGCCTCATCTTCCTCTTGTGGAGCTGGGTTTGAACCGTCAAATGCCTTATCCACTATGCTACCAGATCTCCTTAGGGAGGGAGTGTGGCTCCCATTTTTTGACTGTTGAAGTCCCAGGGCCATGGCTCCCTAAGAACTTGTTGTATGAGTTCGAGATTGCAGGGACCAGATTGCTCACCCCTTGTGTTTTGAATCCACAAGTAGTTCAGGGTCCTTACACAGTGACAGTGCTTCACGGTTAGTGGGGTGAGGCCACTCATGGAACTCCCATCTGTCTTGCCCCTGTAGCTGACATCAGCCTGGCCTCCTGGGGACGCAAGGCCCTGGACATCGCAGAGAATGAGATGCCAGGCCTGATGCGCATGCGGGAGATGTACTCAGCCTCCAAGCCACTGAAGGGCGCCCGCATCGCCGGATGTCTGCACATGACTGTGGAGACAGCTGTCCTCATTGAGACCCTTGTCGCCCTGGGTGCTGAGGTAAGGCCCACAGGGCTGTGACTCCAGACGGGTACCTTGCCCTCTCTAAGGTCAGACAGAGTAGGACAAGACTGTTTAGGGATGGGAAGAAATCCAAGTGTGGTGCTGACTTCCACACTTGTCACTTGGGTTTTCTCTCCCATCTCCCAGTGCTGCCACCCTTTGTGGTGACTGTTCCTTTGCTGATACATTTTCTCCCTGATTGGGACGTTGGCCTCTGATGGCCCCCAATTCATATCCTCTTGACTGAGGAGTCCCAACAGGGAAAACCTGCTCCGGTATCTCCTTTAGCCGTCTGAGGGCTGATTCTCATTGGCTCTTGTTGGATCATAAGCCTTACTTGGCACAATCACAGTGGCCGGAGGGATGGGGTGCTGTGATTGGTCGGTCTGGGTCATGTGTATCAGTCATTAAAAGGTCTTCTAAGCTCTCAGGGAATTGAGGAACAAGATGGTTCCCCAAAGGGGAGAGGGGATGCAGAGCAGCCAAAAGCAGCAGTACTCTAGGGCTCAGGCCTTAGACTGTTGCTTCGTTTTCAACATTCACTCTGTCGGTGGTCTAGTTTTATGGATGAAATACTGTATATATGGTGATGACTCCCCAGTACAGTGCTAGCCTAGATTTCTCCCCAGAACTCAAGACACATATATCCATCTGTTGATGCTTCATACCTACTTGCAGGTCTAAGACATCTCAAACTGAACAAGTCCAGACATGCTCATGGATTTCATGCCCCTTCAGTCTTCCCCACCTCAGTAAAGGGAAACTAGCCTTGTAGGTTCTGTCAGTTCAAGAACCTGGAGTCATCCTTGACTCCCCGCTCTCACCCCGCAACTAATCCCTCAGCAAATCCTGTCAGCTCAACCTTCAAAATAAATCCAGAATTTGACAGCTTCTCATTGCCTCCCCTGCTCCTGCCACATTTCTCACCTACAACAGCTTCTTCACTTGTCTCCTTACTTTATCCCTTTTCACTCTACAGTTTATGCTCCTCACAGCACCAGAGTGATGTTTTAAGACATAGCTCAGATCTTCCCTGCTCTGGCTCCTGTCCACTCACCCAGGGTCACCGGCCTCTGTCACAGAGCGTGCTGGGTCCGGATCCTCAGTCTGTCACCCCCAGCGCCAGTGCTCTCCCCTCTCCCTGCTCAGGGACCCTGGTGCTTCTGAGCCCTCAGTGACCAGCAGCCCTGTCTCGCTGGCTTTTCCAGGTGCAGTGGTCCAGCTGCAACATCTTCTCAACCCAAGACCATGCAGCGGCTGCCATCGCCAAAGCTGGCATTCCAGGTGAGTCCTTTCTGAAATACTCAGGGTGTAGGAATGTGTGAAGTTCTCTGCTTCCTGTTTACTCCACTGACTCCTGTGGTACTAGGCTTAGCTATTGCAGGGGAGAGCAGTCCACAGAATCCATAGGAAAAAGTTATTTTGTTCCACTTTCATGTTCTGTGGAAGGTAAATATTGGCCCAACCTGTCGTGACCAGGAAGGGTAGAAGTTATGATTGGGAACCACATGGTATAGAGGGGGAGTATCTTAAAGGAAGGATGTGAGGTCATTGCCTGGGATCTGGTGGTCTAGAAGGCTGGGGGAGGATCAGGACTAAAGTGAAAGGACTTTCTCACAAGTTGTTGGAGAAATGGGCACATGTCTGCCTGGGCTTGGGGAGTGGAGAGGTTAGATCTGATGGTAATTAGATAAGGTATTCAAGATTCCTTGGCACAGGTCAAAGGTGGAGGAAGGGAAGAAGATGGGGAAGCGCTCTTCCAGAGACTGACCAGGGCTAGATAGGCATCGCCCCCTCTTCTCAGCTTTGCCTTGGCTCCATGGCCCTCTTCTGGGAAAGGCTTTGTTTTCAAGACTGTTGTCTGCCCCATTTGGGAGGTAGGGCAGCTGGCCCTGCTTGGCCAGCATCCTTTGCTCACAGAAGGCATGGGAGCCTTACACCTGTGTCCCAGTCATATCATGTGATGGGAGGGGCCTGGTCTGGAGGTCAGGAGCTCTGTGTTTTGGTGCCATCTCTGGAATGCCATGCTGAATGACCCAGGCACATCTGAGCTCCTCTCTGGGCATCTGTAACTGATGATGGTAATGTCTGCCTTACAGGATTACTATGAGGAGACATGAGATGGAGCCTAAAGCAGTTCTGAGTAATGGCTGGCACAAAGTGTTCCATGCATAATAACTATTATTAGTAATTTGTTGGCAAGACTTTGCTTGGAATCACCCACCACAGAGGCTGCTGGGCCCTCCAGTGCTTACAGTGCAGAATGAACCTTGGATCCTGCCTTGTGGGCCCACTGAGTGTGACCCTTGCCACTGCAGCTCCCCCATCCCAGCAGCAGGCATTGTGGATGGAGCCCTGGCCACTGTGGGTTGATGTTCCAGTCCTGGGGACCCAGGCAAAGGGGGTGGGAAAGGAAATAAGTATTTCAAGATATGAATATGTGCAGTGCCATCTCAGATGAGAACGTCGAGGCTCAGAAGGTGAAGTGATTTGCCCAGGGTCACACAGCTGGTAAGTGGCAGAGCCAGGATTTGAACTCGGTTCTCCCTAGCTCCAAACTGTGTTCTTAGCGCTGCTGAGTCCTTAGAGGGGCTGGAGGTGTTGGGGATGGGAATTAGAAAGGAGATAGTATTGACTATGCCAGGTGGCTCCTTGGAGCAGGTGCCAGTGGGGAGGGCTTGGTCTGATATGCCTCTCACCCTTCAGTGTATGCCTGGAAGGGCGAAACAGATGAGGAATACCTGTGGTGCATCGAGCAAACCCTGTACTTCAAGGACGGGCCCCTCAACATGATTCTGGATGATGGCGGTGACCTCACCAACCTTATTCACACCAAGTACCCTCAGCTCCTGTCGGGTGAGCAGGGTGGGTGGGCTGAGGGCTGGCAGCCTGAATAGGGCCTTCTCGCCCACATGCAGGTAGCAGGCCTGGCAGGACTCCCAGTGCCTTAAGCAGCAGATTCCTTGGATGATGGCAGGCATCTGTAAGCATGCTGGGGCCTGGCCTCCTGACTTTGCATGGTATAGGGCTAGAGCAGCTGGAGGAGGCCTGGCTGAGGTAATAAATTACCCAAGGACTGGGCCAGGAAGAGCTGGAAAGGAGCCAGTTATAAAAAGCAGGGGCAGGAAGGGGAGAAGTGAGTGCAAAGGACCTGGAGCAAGAAAGGGTTGACTATTCAGAAAACAGAAAGGAAGTCAGCATGGGTGCTATGAGTGAAGGGAGCTAGGGAGTATTGTAGGGTGTGGCTGTAGCTGTAGCAAAGGCCGGAGTTTGGCTTGATCCTGAGAACAAGGGCAAGTACTTAGAGGGTTTGAAAAGATTTCTTTGAAAATATTCATGTGAAAAGTAGCTGGTGGTAGTGATGGTTGTACAACATAGTGAATGTAGTCAGTGTCACTGAATTGTACATGCAAACATGATTGAATTGGCAACTTTTGTTACATGTATTTCACCACCATAAAAATAAATTTGGTTGAAGAAATGGGAAAGAAGTGGCTGCTGGTTAACAACAAGAACATAGCTCAATTTAAAAATGGGTTGTTGTTGCTGTTGTTATGTGCCATCGAGTCGGCCCCGACTCATAGAGACCCCTCCTTGAGTTTCCAAGGCAGTATCACTACAGAAGGAGGATTGCCCAACCTGCCTTCTGAGGAGTGGCTGGTGGGTTTGAACCGCCAGCCTTCTGGTTAGCAGTCAAGTGCCTTAGGCACTATGCTACCAGAGCTCCTAAAAAAAAAAAAAAAAATGGTTAAGGGACTTGAATAGACATTTCTCAAAAAAAGATGTACCTTAATCATTAAAAAAACGTAAACTCACTGCCGTGGAGTCGGATCCGACTCACAGCGACAACTCCTTGGGTTTCCAAGGTGGTATCACTACGGAAGTAGATTGCCCAACCTTCCTTCCAAGGAGTGACTGGTGGGTTTGAACCACTAGCCTTCAAGTACCTTAGGTACTACGCCACCAGAGCTCCACGTTAATCATTAGGGAAATGCAAATCAAAACCACAGTGATACACCACTCACACCCAATTAGTATGGCTTTTAGGAAAATGAAAATGTGGAGAAATTGGTAAGGGTATCCATCCATTGCTGGTAGGAATGTACAATCGTGCAGATACTGTGGAAAACAGTTTGATGGTACCTCAAAAAGTTAAACATAGAATTCCTGTGTGACTTAGCAGTTCTACTCCCAAGAATATATCCTAAAAGACTGGAAAGCAGATAAACTAATACATGTATACCAGTGCTCATGGTAGCATTATTCACAATAGCCAAAAAGAGAAACAGCTCAAGTGTCTGTCACCAGATGAATGGATAGACAACATGTGGTATATTCATACAGTGGAATGTGATTGAGCTATAAAGAGAAATGTGCTCGGGTTCCGGCAAGATGGCGGACTAGGCAGAAGGATTGCACAGACCCTCTTCAACAAAGAAAAGGTAAACCAATTAACACAGACACAGAAGATAATCT